TCTAGCCAGACCTGCAAACAACTGGTGTCACAAATTGTGAAGAGAAGGCCAGCCAGAGAGATGAATAGAGACGAGTAATATCTGCAGCAGTAAACCTCAAGGGCTCAGAATGCTAAAAAAAAAGAAGATGACTATTCTGTGCTACTTTATGTGAAGTAAAAGTTCAGCATACATTTGACATTATGAATGTTTTTTTTTTTTTAAAGATATATTTTATACACTTTTCGTATTCGTATTCGGCCAAATAGTTTATCCCACTATTCGTGTTCGGCCGATTAGTGAAAATCACTATTCGGTACAGCCCTAGTGGATGCACAAGGAAGAGTGAGTGTAGTATGGTTGCGTGTATGTGTAAGATGGATACACAAGAAAAGATGTATGTAGGCGAATGGTAAGGGTTCACATATGGACAGGAAATTGGGAATATAGATGTGCGAAAGGTACAGATAAACAATTACATCGATATAGAAATGTATATGTCTATCCATGTGTATATGTATATATATATATATATATATATATATATATATATATATATGTGTGTGTGTGAGCGTGTGTATTTATATATTAGTGTGTGTGTGTGTGTGTGTGTGTGTGTGTGTGTGTGTGTGTGTGTGAATGACTGTGCACTCCGGGAACCCATAAATTACGAGGCTGCATGGGACTATACGATGAACTGGTGCATACATACATGTGAAATCGCGCGAAACTGGGAACGTTTTAGAGGCTGCATAGGCAAATGCTCAAGAAAGATCAGCCTATCGTAGTTGAAACAATTCATAGCGAGGACGGTATGCTCTTAACCATAAACAAAAAGAAGAGGGAGGCTCTTCTGGAATGATTTATTTTACACACAGACCACAGAGATGTAGATAACAGAGATAAAGTTAGAGTAGACCTGGCACAAACATTATAAAGACATCGAACATGTGCAAGATGTAAACATGTTCTGAGAAAGGCGAAAGACAATGCACCCGGGCACGATATGGTTAGATATTTTCACATGAAATACATTAGTAATACAAACCTGCTGGAAATGACTGCTTGCTTCAACCAGAGTGTTAGGACAGCTTCAGTCCCAGAAGAGAAGATGCACAGCTAACTGATTCCACTTCCTAAGCCTGGCAAGTATCTTCCAACACTCAGTGGATTTAGGATGCTAACCCTACAAAACGCCTTTGGTACAGAGCTGGAAAAGATAGTGGCGGGTAAGCTAAAGGATTTTGAGAACAGAGAAATCTCCTTCCACAAGGTTTACGGCCAGGTAAGAACGAATGGTCAAATGCAGCCACTTCTGCCTTTGACGCCTTAGAAGGTTTCCAGAACAGACAGGAGCACTTGATTTAGAAGATGCTTATAACAGAGTCACATACAGTATTTTGATAAAAGCTCTTACGGAAAAGGGGTCTGTCCTTGGTTGGTAAACTGGATGGCAGCTGTTTTGCATACTCGTCGGGTAGCTCTCCACCTGGGTTCATGGACGTCTGAACAATATATTATATCTCAGGGACTACCACAGGGATCTGAAATTTCACCTGTACCTTTCAACTTTTTTACGAGCAAGATTAGGAACCTAGAAACACCTGGAGTCGGCAGAATATTGACGTTTGCAGATGATGAGCTTGTACACAGGACGGGAAGTTTTCGTAATCAATGAGCTAAGAAGTTACATGCGACATTAAATTAGGTGATCGACGAGTGTACGGAGATGAGTGCTGCAATGAACCAAGAAAAGGCAACCGTCCTGTGGTGTGCTTTCAACAACAGGATTGTTAGAGCTGATGTTCCAAGCCTCAAAATAAATGGTAGGGACATCACAAGAGACAGCAGACTGCTGTAATTAGAAATCAATTTTGACAGAAGTTTGTCTTCCAGGGATAGCATAGAAGGGGAAGTCACAAAGGCGGAGCACGTTCTTAATGAACTTAAGATTATGGCAGCGATGGACATGGAGCAGATAATGCTGTTCACACCTGCTGGCACCTAATCATCTCAGTGATTGATTATGGTCTAGGGTTACTCACTGTCTCGAAGAATCAGCTAGAGAAACTGGAGCGCATACCGGATGAAGTTATGCGGGTGATCCTGGAATGTACGAGAGACACCTCAATTGTTTGCTTGCGATACATCATTGCATTGCTGACTATTGCTGATAGGCTAAAAGTGCTGCAGGCTAAATCATACCTCAGAGTAGCTGCAGACAAAGAGCACCCTCTTTCTGAAGCTTCGGCTTCACGTTAGGGACCGAGGCTGAAAAGGGAAACATCTTGGATGGCTAAAGCTGAAGACAGAATAAGACAAGTAAGCAAGGTGGGGAACATTGGGCGAGGAGAGAAGTGGGTCAGAGGATCAGAGGAAAAGTCTGACCTGTGTAGGATCACATTGGGCCGGGAGTGCAGAGAGTGGCCAGCGGGTGCTAAAGAGGTGGACGTCAAACAGTTGATTCGCGACAATTCTCGCACAGATCATCTGATTATCTATACAGATGGTTCGTGTTGAGAGGGAAGATAAGTGCCTAGAGGTTCGAAGTGAAAGCCATCGGCAATTCTTCAGTGCAGGCCAGCTTAGAGTATGATACGACATCTAGTATGAAAATCGAGATGGAGACGGTAACTGCAGCTTCCCGGTGGCTAGAGAACACGATGCAAACACATTTCATAATTGTAACAGACTCTGAAAGCATGCTGAGAAAGGAGAAGACAGGGATGCTTCAAGTGGAGTGGCAAGCATCACTGGGAAGATCACAGTTAGTAAGTATACTTTGGACCTTGCGTCCACGGCAGACCGGCGCTATGGGAAATGAACAGGTAGACAGATTAGTTGGATCTGCACCATTGGGTGGTGCTTTGATGCATGACAGGACAGACTTGGTCAGGCCTTTTGGGAAAAAGCAATTGAGTAAGAAGCGAAACACGATTAGTATGGCCTGGGGGGAATGTGGCACGTGGGTTTAACAAGAGGGTCTGGCCGGCTCACTAGACTCAGAGAAAGGCAAGACGGACATGTAACCAGATTACGACCGCTACCATCGGAATTGGAACTCCGTGCTCGCAGCTGAAAATAAAGACGGAGCACGCATGAAAATGCCCCTATTGCTGTGATGTCAATTCTTGATTCAACTCAACAGCTCAGAAGACATGAGACACCACACGGAAAAAGTCGAGTATTCAAGGTCAGATAGACCAGCTGTAGAAGGATATAGGAAACCTAAAAGAGGAACCAGCAACAGCAGTTATCCCACATGCACACAAAAACAAAAGGAGATGTGGAAGATTAGAGACATCTTGAAAAATATATTAGCAGTTCAAAGACAAATGGCGACCAAGGCAACATCAGTGGATGCGTTCAATGTAGAGATTGTGGCAATGCTCATTTATTTACCAAAGATACGAGACCAGCGAGAACCAATTCTAGCACAACCAGTTCCAGTAAAACGTAAATCAGTCAAAATCCTGCCTGATAGACCTCTTAAACCAGACATGAAAACCAAAGAGACACAAACAGCAAAGCGAAGACTAAGATCACGACAGAAACGAAGGTAACGGCAGCTACAACAACGACAGAAGGACTGCTGCAGCAGTCAAACGCCTCGTGTATGGCGTATTGGATACCATAGGCACATTATACACTTGGAGCAGACTACCTGACTGAATTCAACAGGGTTATCGCAATAGCATTCAAATCATACAAACAACACACAAGACAACCAACCAATGGTAGAGACAATATCATTCAGCAAGATAGCCTGTCCCAATCAACTAACCAGCACTCTGACGACTGCCCTACACTCAGCACACAGAAGACCTGACTTGAGAGACATGGGAGGGTAGAACCTCCGACTTCAAGAAATACGCAGTGAAAACAACAGCACGACAAGGAGCCACAATTATAACCATTGCTTTCTAAGAGAGGCTAGCTCCCTAGGTAGCGGTTTAAGGCTAATCAAATTAAGCAAGCATTACTCCATAAATTCATGCAGCACCGTCCCAATACGGGACACAGTTAGTTTTGTCATTTTAATGCCCCATCTCGGCTGTTGTCGGTTGCCTTATACTACCTAGCGGTTGAGCGGAGTTTCTGTGAGTTGTGCACGAAAGATTCTCATCCGAATGTTGGCATTTGTGTCACGGGGTGTTAATCGCGTGTTATGAGGCGCTGTCTCGGTCAAACGTTATTTTTTTTACTCCACTTTGTCACATTCTTAGACACTGCTCCCAAAATGTGCTGCACATCCTATCTCTCAATAGGCATTACAACTGTTGCCGCGATGCATCAGCTGGTCATCTGCAGCTAAGGCAGACCTGACCATTAAATCAGTTCTTTCATTGAAAGAGTGCACGCTGGAAAACAGAAAACTAGATCCACTCTTTAAACTGTATGCCCTGACTGAACATTACGGTTCTAAGAAATGTATGTATGTGTCTCTTTTTAAAATTTGAAATAATGATAAAAACTGTGTATTTATTCCGTTGTAGGTGTCAATGTACTCTGATCTATATCTCATGCATTGTCGATGCGTGGTGGCCGCTGCTTATACTGGAAGTGTTCTTGTTGTGCCGCGACTAATTAACCCGTTGGACATTGGACTCTTCCAGGAGGTGTTTAACAATCCTCTTGTGGTAGGCAGTTTTAGGTTCTCAAAAATAAATTCATTACTGCCTAAATTAATCAGTAGTTAAAAAAAAACAAAAATTCAGAACACACAGACACACTCAGTGATCACAATTCACAGATTAATCAGCACCTTCACATACTTTACTTGGTGCAGATAGCCAACTATCGTGTTTAAAACCAACCATATGACCGTAAATGTCGCCAGCCAGACATATACTTTAGTCCATATTTCTATATGTGTATCTATAAAATAAGAACTGAACATTTCTTACATCAAATCTAATTCTTAAAGTCTCAGCTATAAATCTAAAAACTTTTCTTGGTGACACACGTTTAGTGAACATTATGAAAATTGAAATGTTTGTCATTTTTATGTTTAGGTGTCCATGGTTATTGCAGTGTGGCTGATCTACATTGCTCTCATTTCATGGGGTCGTATGCAAGATAAACAGGATGAGATCAAGGTAATTGTGTACCTATTTTCAGGTGAGATTGAAATAATGCTAAGTTAGAAGAAACTTCACAGGGGAGCATGTACAGCAGGAGTCTACCAATCATCAGTAGAAGTGATCCCTTGTCCACAATTCTTTCGGCCCACGATCTCCTATACAATTTCAGAGGGTGGGCTTATCTGAGTTCATGAAGCTCAGGCTTCATCTGCTCTTGCTGCATGTATTACCGGATGTTATAAATACTAGTTTAATTTGAAAGCCTCCTATGACACATTCTGCATTTGGTTAGTTTAACGATCTTGACAGTCTATTGTCATCTAATTCTTAAGGTGGATAGTCTTTCAGGTTATGGGGGAGGCCCAGTTTATGAGCTGGCCGCAAGGTCACCAAATGTAGAGGAAGTGAATAACGAAAGCTGACAAAAAAAAAAAAAAACAATGGGCCCCACACGCGGCAGGTTGGAACACTGAGAAAATCTAATGAATGGCTTTTGGTATCACTGTTCACACCAGCATTCTTGATAACGATATTCACAGCCAATAAATAATTTCAAAACTACCTTAACGTTATATATATATATATATATATATATATATATATATATATATATATATATATATATATATATATATATATATTTTTATATATATATATATATATATATATATATATATATATATATAGGGCTGTACCGAATAGTGATTTTCACTATTCGGCCGAATACGAATAGCTGAACCCACTATTCGGCCGAATACGAATACGAATAGTGAATCATCATCATCATGTACTTTGCCAGCTGGCATGGGCGATTATGCCTCGCCACAATCTGCAGCAGGTATTAGTTCGTGTGCTGACACGCCTCCATGAAAAAACTTCGTTCCATATTGTCAGCATTTTTGTCTCACTGAAGGTATTTCCAGCTGTACTAAACAGGAAAATTCGACAAATACAGAGAGTCAAGATGAAAACCCGCAAGGCGAAACATCAAAAGCAAAAATAACGCCGACGAAGAAAACAAGAAGAAAACAATGCCGTCCTCACAAGTCGCCCGCCCCGCGAGCTCAACGGAAACAAGATCGCGACATCAAAGACCACCGCGGCCGCAGAGAGGGACACCGCCGAGCAGCCAACACCTGAAGATCACATAACGAAGAAATCCGTGCAGACGAAGAAACCAGACGCCAGAAGATCAAACAACAAACGAGACAAAGATGGAACAGTTACGACACCCACAAACATAAAGGATGACGAACTCCCGTTACTTCAAACAATCAACGAAGAGGACACTCCACTCAAAGAAATCAAGCCGACAACACTAGAACACTTGCTTTTCTGCCCCTCTTACATTTTCAAGTGTTGCATTTTGTTTCTGCAGCAACACACCTAAAAACACTATACTCGCAACACATACACGATGGAAATAAAGGGGTAACACCCCCCAACAAAATAACAAAAAAAAAAAAAAAAAAAGACGTTCACTTGGTACGCTCGTAGGCGGTGCACAATAAGAATAAACTCACAGGGAGCAAGCACAGCGGGGATCTACAGTCATCAGTAGAAATTATCCTCTGTCGACACACGTTTCGGCCCACGATTCCTAAACGTATTCGGAGGACTGCCCCGTAGGCGTTGGCTAAGTCCAACCATATAACGTGCAAATCGGTTCTCTCATGCTTGGCTCTCTGGATAGCCTCCCAAATCATGGTCGCGTGTTCAAGGCACCCAGGAACGCCTGGAATGCCACCCTTCTGAACACTCGTATCTATGTACTTGTTAGTCATCAGATACTGTGTGAGCCGGCGAGCCATGACTGAGAAGAATATCTTACCCTCGACATTCAACAGCGAGATGGGCCTGAATTGGGAAAGACTCTTCGAGTCCTGCTCTTTGGGAATGTAGACCCCATTTGCCTTTGACCACTCTCGACATATGTGATTGCGGATCCACGCTTGTCTCAACAAGACGTGAAGCATTTTAAGGATTTTCGGGCAACGCTTGTAAAGAACGTACGGAACACCGTTCGGACCTGGGGCAGACTTGCCGCTGGCCTTTTTCACAACGTTCTCAACCTCAGACCAAAGGGGAGGTACCAGTTTAAATGGTACCTTCGGCACCGAAGGCTGTTTGAGTCCGCTAAGGATCTCTGGATTGTCATCAAGAGGCGCACTCCTCTTTTTATCCGAGTACATCTTGCGTAGATGTAGCTCTAGTTCTTCCTGACTGACAACCAGAGTCCCAGACTTCGGTTGCTCGAACAGACCTCGGGCAAACTGATACGGGTCCCTAAAGAATTTATCTCGCTCCCTTTTGGTTCTCCGTCTGTTGTTACAGAAACGCTCGGCACGACAGAGGGCACTGTGTTTGTTCTTTAAATGCAACCAAACTTCGTACAGACCCTCCCGTTCGCTGCCTGTAGCGGCTTTGAACCGTTTTCTGAGGGCATTCTTGTCTGCCCGACACTTCAGAATGTCCCTCTGCCTCCTGCTAGTATTCTGCTTGGCACCCGGCTGTGCCTTTACTACTGTCCCGAACTCGCGGGAGCAGTGTTCATATATTACATCACCAAATTTAGTAAGCTTGTCGCCTAGCGACTTCTTGTTTAGAGTTTGTTTAAGTATCTCACATAATGTAGCTTCCAACTTACACCACACCATCTTCTCGCTCGCAGGTGGAAACCTGATTCTGGAACGCACTTCTTCAGAAATCATCAAAGGTGCTCCTCCGCAGTCGACGTCATGGGCCTCTCCGGGCGAGTGGGGTTCACCCTGCCCGTCGTACCCTGACGACTCAGAAACTACCACAGGAGTGGTAGTTTTGCGACGGCGTTTACTGCGTGGAGCACCCTCGCATTTCATTCTTCCGGCATGCGTTCTCAGACCATGCAACCCCGTGAAGCTTTTCCCACATGTACAGAGCCAGCCCGGACGTTGGGCGAGTAACTCAGTCCGGGGGCTAGCAAAGTCGTCACCGAGGGTATCAATCAGATTGGGCCCATCATTCTCCCCCCCCCCCTTTTCGGAGGGCCCTGGGGGCATATTTCATTGTGGTCGTAAGAAATCGGAGGTATTATACTGTGTTAGGGGTGATCAACCCGGTCCACAGTCGACATCTGTCTCCAGATGTCAGTTTATCCCCCCGGGGATACCGGGGGGCCAGTCTTTCCATAGGTGTCAAAAGGACTTTCCCGATAGTCACCAGTCTTTCCTGGTAGTCTTGTGGGCTAGCCACGTACAATAAGAATAAACTCACAGGGAGCAAGTACAGCGGGGATCTACAGTCATCAGTAGAAATTATCCTCTGTCGACACACGTTTCGGCCCACGATTCCTAAACGTATTCGGAGGTGGGCCCACCTGAGTTCATGAAGCTCAGGGCTGCTTCCGCTGCACAGAATTACCGGATGGTGTTATTATTTCGGCCAGAGACAAGACGACTTAGTGGTTTCGAAGGAGGTACTGTGAGATAAGAAGCCGCCACGGCAGCGTAATTAGAACAGTCCGCATGCCTGGACGACCGAGCGACAAGCTTACTTTGGTTTACCGGACACATGTTGGACTTTTATTAGCAGTTGGCAGAGGGACACTGGCAGACAATTCGTACACGATGCACTTTCAAAGGGATGAGAAACTCCTTTCCGCTAGACACCCGGACCAGCTCACCGAGGCCCGTCCCCTACGTTGTTGCGCTGCGTCCACAGCCAGCTAGAGGCCCTTTCGGCAACCTCTCCCAGTTTTTTAAGTGTTCGTTTCCGTTCATTGCCGCGCAATCCTAGTTCTTTCACCACATTGTAGAGCGAAGTGGAAACGAGGCCTCTCGCTCCCACTTCGACGGCAAATACCCGTACCGTGTAAGCTTCGTTTCTCCTCAAACCGGCTGCTAAATCACTGTACTTCTCGAGCTTGTACAAATGATTCTCCTCCATCCGCGACTCAAACGGGACCGTCAACTCAATCAGGATGAGCTGCCGTTTTTGCGCAGAATGGAGAACGATGTCCGGTCGCAGGCCGGTTTTACGGATCAACTCGGGATACCGTTCATGTACTGGCAGATCAACCAGTGCACAGTATAAACGAAGGTGGGAAATCTTGATGTTTTTTTTCCACCAGTCCAGAAACGGTTGTGAGGTAACCACTATTCGTATTCGGCCCGACCGCAACTATTCGGCCGAATACCGAATAGTTATTGGGTCCACAATTCTACCCCAAAGCGAATACGAAGCGAATATTCGGTACAGCCCTAATATATATATACACCAACACAAACACGCACAGAAAGAAAGAGAGAGTGCGCGCTAGACAGAGATAGAGAGATACCTTGATTTGTCACTGACATCAGGGCAATTAAAGTCATCCAATCAGCCAGTCAATCCGACAGTTTATGTATATACATATATTAATAAAGAGAAAGAGAGATAGAGAGAAAGGGGTGGAGAGAGATTTGTGTGTGTGTATGTGTTTGTGTGTGTGTAAAATAACGTCTTACGGCACATAGCCCTAAATCTTTATATTTCACATACTGCCTTTTATCAAGGTAATTAAAAAAAAAAAACATACACCTTAATCGTTTTGCAAACGTGTTAACATACTTGTTTTTGGGAAAAAATAAAGCTATTGTTGCGTATCTGAAATTATTGTTGACACAAATAAAAAATCAGTTATCTTTAAAAAATAATTCTTTTTTTTTAATAGAAAGACCCCATTTAGTACCCTCTATCTATCTAGATTTTTACCTCTTATTAAACAGACTTTGGAGATTATTAGTGTTAAAAAAGAGTTAGTTAGTTAGTTAGTTAGTTAGTTAGTTGGGTTATCGTCATTGCACTCCGGACATGTCCATAGGTGCTCAGATCCTCCCCTCAGTATGAACCCCAACGTCCGATGGCTAATAGTACCAGTTCTATGTTGATTAACAAGTCTTCTGACGTGTCCGGTGTGCGTCTCGTTTTTTGCTGTGCCGATCTTAATTCCCAAGTCTGCCATTCTGGCGAGTGATGTGGATTCACTACCACCAAAGTCCTCTATCCTTCCCATTTCTCTGAGGGCATTGATAATATCAGCGTGATCCATAGGCTGACCGTCGGTAGTGATAGCGGATCCAGCCAACCTGTCAGCTCTTTCATTTCCATAATCGCCTGCGTGTCCCGGAACAAAAATAAAGGTGACTCCACGCACAGTGGACTTCTGTAACGATTCAAGCCATTGTCTTCGCACTGAACCTGCCTGAACCCTCCGGATCATACTCATTGAATCACTGAGTATACATATGCGGGTGTATTTTTGTGTTTCAAGCCAGGCATAAGCTTGCGTCACTGCCATCACCTCCATCGTCATGCTGCTGGTTGTCATGGAGAAGGCACCGTTGGCTTCTTTGACTGTTCTGCCCGCTGAGCGTGCTGTAAATGCCCATGCGCTTCTTCTTTGGCGTATAGGTGCACAATGTATATAACTAGAATGCGTTTGCACTGGAACCTACTTAGTTTTTAAAATAAATATATGGGAGGTCATGGTTTCAGCTGCACGTGACAGCAATGGATAAGAGGACTTCACGAGAATTGTTGTTAGTTTATTTTAATTGCTAGGTAAATAGGCAAAGAAAGAAACTTATATGTGTGGCTTTTCATTGTTTGCTGTGCGATACTCTGTCTGTAGAGCTTGACTAGAACATATTCTTTATTCTGTAGACAGCCGTGACAGTGCTGGATGACAACAAAGATGAGCATAGTTATGTCTACCTTATTTGTGTGGTCACTGGATGGTCCACGTCATCTGCTACCACCTCAAATGTATTTATTAGTCTCAAGGGATCTTGGTACCAGAGTGAAAATCATGTGTTACAAGATCCGTCTCGTCACCTGTTTCGGGTAAAATATGTTGGCTGTTTGTGTTAAACCATGCCTATGTGTGAGTGTGTGTATGTTTGAGTGTTTTTTTTTTTTTTTTTTGGGTAAATATGTGTGCGTAAGTGTGTGTGCCTCAGCGTGTGCACTTGTGCGGGCAAAATCAGTTTGTCAGGGGGCCAACAAGCATTCTTTTAGAAATGGTATTCCTAATGACTCCTTTTTTCCAGTGTCCGGGTAAGTATTTTGACCTCTGTTTGCGAACCCTAATTTGACATACGCACTGTAAGACACTGCACGAATGATTGTTGATACTCCGCCGTTTAATCTAGAATACAATGCAAGGAGTGGCGTTTGCGACAGATGCTGCAGCGATATATTCGTTTTTCTCTGTATCTTTTTCTGTGTTTGTTTAAAGAATGCAGGGGCGTTACAGACAAACAGTTCAAAATCATAATTTAAATATCCAATAATATGTATTACTGCGACAAAAGAAAACTAAGAAAGAAAAACAAATCGCAATATAAATGAAAAAAAATATCGTGGGAACATGATGTGATGAAAATGCTCTCTGCAAGCAGTATAACTTGTCCAGGTCCACCATAGCTAGAATTATCGGTTCTTAATTTATAACGTACCCCAAACACAAAAATCCCGAGGGAATTCCACAGCCGACCTGACAGTCCATTATTTCAATTGGTGAAAGTGTGCTGTTGTTTGCTGCTGTTTTTGAGTGTTCATCTAGTGTCATAGGATTAGGGTTAGGATTAGGGTTAGGGTTAGATGTAGAGAAACCGCGAGAAACTACAACCTGAACACCCTAGAATTTATTGGGAATATCTCCCGTGACGTCGTCGTGACGTCAGGGTTAAGTTATAAATTGAGTACCGAATTATCATGAAAGCAGATTTGTATAAGGAACTGAATAACTGTAACAATCATATCTGTCCCAAATTTTGATCGATTCATTTGTTTTTATATTCTCCTGAATCATGTGGATATCAGCGCCCGACACTATTTTTCTGTCCACATGCTCTTTCTAAAGCATTATATTATATTCTACCGCCCACATTATAATTTTACCCCATGTGACTTTTTCGTGTTCTCTGATTCACACAGGTTTCATTTTGCCAACATTTTCCTGGGGCATCTCGGCATTGCACTCGTTATATTTAAATCTTATTCACATTTATTACCTAAAGTCATTCTGTTTGCAACATAACTTATCAAGGAGAAAATCATCCCCCACACCTCCCCCCTCCCCCTCTCCAGATGGAGTTACATTACCCACCACCAAATATGGCGTATGAAGCTACTCTCCGAGCACTCTCAAAATAATGTTAGCGCCCATTTTAGTCAACATTTATTTTGTCAGTCCTGACTGTTACTAATTTTCTTTATTTTTTTTTTAAATATTTTTATTTAAAGTGTCTATACTGGAATGTCTCGCAAAGTCGTATGGCATGAGATAACGTCATTTTTTCCCCTCTTTTGTCCTAGCGACTTAATAAAAGTGGTACTTAAATGGATATAGCACATAGGAATATTAACCTTTAGTGGTTGTGACTGCATAAGAAATAAGCATTCATCCTGCCGTCATCATGACTTAAAATTGACATTTAATCCAGAATGGCCTCTTTAAATTTAACCCATCTACTGGTGAACGTTTGGGAAGAGTTAGTAGACTGAATATGTACATACAGACAACCTCCTTTTTTCTTTTTTATAGATACATGATCATTTGTTTCTGAAGTATGTCCATAATTAAAAACACACTGCCCTTCAATGTCGGAATCAATTTTTTCTTGTTTGAAACGCCACTCTGGCTGTTTTTGGAGGGTCGTATTATTACCAGACCATTATGTTAGAGTGGGTTTTAAGGGGCCTGCCCCCTGATGATCGTCATCCGGCTGGTAGCACTTTGTGTCACCTGTTGTTCATCGCTCGTTGTATGTCCTGGTAAGGCTGAACGTCAATCAATCACTTAATGTCCATCAGATCAGATTCATTGCCATGTATTCTTCAAAGAGAAAAGTGATCTACGTTATTAAAAAGACATGTGAAAGTGAGCGTAGGCAGATTACAACTTTAATTGCTGTCTTGGTTGCACAGGCATTTTCTTTTTCATGACTCTATGTCTACCTATGTCAATAATTAATTAAACAGATGTTACTTGATGTTACTTGATGTTACTTGACTTTGTTATTTCCACCAATGCTCATTAGCCATGCGTCACAAACCTTAACTGATTTAATTAATTACACCTCTTACTCCTCAGTCTGGTGCGGAGAACTGGTTTATGTTAACAACAGACGATGACTTAGGAGAGCTGAACTCTGTTGTTATCTGGACTGATTACTCCGGAGCCTACCCTTCCTGGTTTGTATAAGCACAGTCAGTAACATTAATTATTATGCAATTAGTCGTTGTGATCTGAAGTTGGATTCTCTGAGCCGCTGATGTAAAAAAAAGTTTCCCTTAACGTAGACTCAGCAAAATAAAATATGAAAAAAAAAAATATCGCATGAAGTTTCTTTGTTAGCGACCACATTCGTGGACAATAAACTTTTCTAACATCTAGATTTTAAAAAAAAATTATATAAAGTCGAGATTTACGAAGGTGTAGGTAGTAGTAGTCGAAGTGATAGGATTAGACGGAGAATGAGGAAAAAGGGAGGAAGAGGAGGAGGAAGAAAATGAAAAAGAAGAAGAAGAAGAAGAAGAAGAAGAAGAAGAAGAAGAAGAAGAAGAAGAAGAAGAAGAAGAAGAAGAAGAAGAAGAAGAAGAAGAAGAAGAAGAAGAAGAGAAGAAGAAGAAGAAGAAGAAGAAGAAGAAGAAGAAGAAGAAGAAGAAGAAGAAGAAGAAGAAGAAGAAGAAGAAGAAGAAGAAGAAGAAGAAGAAGAAGAAGAAGAAGAAGAAGAAGAAGAAGAAGAAGAAGAAGAAGAAGAAGAAGAAGAAGAAGAAGAAGAAGAAGAAGAAGAAGAAGAAGAAGAAGAAGAAGAAGAAGAAGAAGAAGAAGAAGAAACAAGAAGAAGAAGAAGAAGAGAAGAAGAAGAAGAAGAAGAAGAAGAAGAAGAAGAAGAAGAAGAAGAAGAAAAGAAGAAGAAGAAGAAGAAGAAGAAGAAGAAGAAGAAGAAGAAGAAGAAGAAGAAGAAGAAGAAGAAGAAGAAGAAGAAGAAGAAGAAGAAGAAGAAGAAGAAGAAGAAGAAAAAGAAAAAGAAGAAGAAGAAGAAGAAGAAGAATAAGAAAAATGAAGAACAAGAAGGAAAAAGAAAAAGAAAAAAAAAAGAATGAAGAAGAAGAATGCAGAAGCAGAAGTAGGAGAAGAAGGCAGGATGAGGAAGAAAAGATGTTGGAGAAGGAGGAGGAGAAGAGTATTCTGAGACAAGTGAAGCGAATGCTGACAAGAAAGATACACCAAAATGAGAAGTTCTTGGGGGCAAGAAAAAAGATGGACAACATTGTGTCTTTCTGATAGTTCATATTCGTATGTCATATAATTTCACTGACGACATTTTCATATGTATTTTTGTTACTGCCCCAGTGAAGAGCATAATAAAAGTAACTGACCTACCAACTGTTGCGAACATTAACAGTCTGTTTATTGTGTCTGTGTCTATACCCAGAGACAAACAAATGTAACTAACCAAGCAAGGACTGACAGAATGTATATGCGTGCATTTTAAAAGTTCTAATGCAGAATTCATTAGAATAGATCGCTGCTAGTTTTTTTTTTTTTTTTAAATAATTATGTTTTCCTCTCTGCGTGCAGGTTTCTCAGTTACGTTTTTGTACAGAATATGCAAACTAGAGAGACCTGGATTTGCCATTTCAACAACTGGATCAGTGTAGATCTAGGCACAGAGCAGTTACAGGCTGAAATCCCTGCAATTCAGGTAGAATATTAGATCAGTGAGTTATACATCCATAGCTTTACAAAGTGGGCTGTGGTTTCGTCGGGAGCTTGAGCTTTCCATCTCTAGCTTCGTGTGCTTGTGAAGGCGGAGTTGCTGAATTCCGTCTGTAAGAGGGTGTGTAGTTAGTTAGTTAGTTAGTTAGTTAGTCTATTGGTTAGTTAGTTAGTTAGTTATTCGAAGATTATCCTCAGTGCACATCGAACCTTTGAGTGTAAAAGTACTCGGATCCCCACCTTATTAAATCCCGCAATGTGTAGCGGCTCACGACACCAGTTCTGTGTTGGTTTCTTTTTCTTCTTTCACTTTCTGCATAGTGCTGTGGTCTAGCCACACCCCTTTTAAAATGTAGTTCTTCTAGTCTAGTCATTGTTGCAGATTCACAGTCATCACTTGATTCTCGCAAACGTCTTACTTCTCGTAGAGCATTCAGAATATCAGAATGGTCCATGAATCGTCTGCACGCGTACGTGCCCGGGTGCAAATATGGAACTCAAATATGTCAGCCCCAACAGCTTTAGAGACTCCAGCCTTTGTTTTGAGATCAAGCCCTTCTCTATCTTCCTGGGCGCCCGGCATTACAATGCTGTTCGCAAAGCCTAAGTCCCAAACACCGACTTCCTTCAGCCACCTCTTAGAAAGGATATGTGGAAGGGGCGGGGGTGGGGGGGGGGGGGTGTGGAGAACTAGTTTGTTTTAATTTCTTCGCTTGTAAAATTATATTGTCATGTTCTCAGAGCAAGTCATATCATCTCTAAAGTCATGTTTTTTTTTTTTTTTTTTTTTTGGTTCCTATTCATTATAGAAAGCCGATGCATTAGAACCTGGAACCCAGGAATATGTACAATTGCAGAGTAGATACAACACGATGGGTGTCACTAGTACAATATATCTTAATGCTTTGCGATCCCCATAGAGGTAGGGGGGGGGGGGGGTTGAGGAATGAGGACATTTGCTTATCATAGAAAGGCTCAGAGTTAAGTTGTTTTCCTGATGAAAAGAATTTGAGGATAGAGAGTCAAGAAGTTGGCCAGAGAATTGCTACACAGACGAGCTGCTGCTGGACTTTTTTGTGTGTTGTGTGTATTGCTCCGCCTTCCACTGGTGGTATTGACTTCTGTTCCCTTTCTTTATCCTTTCTGTAGAATGTTCTGTTGCCTGTGGTCAGTAAATCTTTATGGGATTGCGAGCAATACTTTTGTTTATGTCCCACGGTGGTACCAGTCGGATGCTCTTATTTTGCATGTTCCTTAAATATTTAGGCAACTTTTAATTCATATAAGGAAAGAAATGTAAAAAGTAGGGATCTTGCTGAGGCAGCTTTCAAAACACAAGTCACTAAAATTACACATACCATATCATTAGTATTATCTTCATGTTTACATTAGTGGTTATAGTTAGAACATACAGATTCTTTGAAGCAATTCCAAAAAGGTGTCTATGTTTGTTGTTGGTGTATTATTAACGTAATCAAGTATGTGTTCTGTCATGTATTCTACAAAGTGTGTGTCGCTAAGGAGTGTGTTTAAAAAAAAAATCCAGTGCTGTGACTTCTTTTTTGTTGTTGATGTCGTGTTGTTTGTGGTTATATGTGATAATATTCCTTTGTGGCCTGTGTAGTTTATTGTCTCTTCTAAATGAGTGGCTTCTATTACGCAGCGTGTGTTAGGTATGTATATTCTAACTAGCCTAGCCTGACTCTGCCACACTAAGTTTGTGTGTGTTGTTTCTGTATTTTTTTATGTTTAGTTCTAAATAAGTCGTTTAGTTTGTCCCCCGTGTGGGTTCCGGGGTTCTACTATGGGAAAAACAAGAATAGACCGACTGCCTACCCAAAAGCATGTCGTAAGCGTCGACTATTTGAGTTTCCTTCGAAGTCGGAGTGCATCTGCCTGAGAGGCAAGGAACTAATAGTCTGCATGCAGATCTGTCAAACGTATGCACTCGCAACACTCAAGTTCTGGAACAGGACTGAAGTCCAGAAGTGGACGAACAACCAGAACTTTCCGCCGGAGTTTACAGCCGGTGAACGCGAAGAAGAAGAAGTTTGGTTTGTGTGTTGTTACCATGTTTTGAAGGGTGTCCATCTGGTTTGGTATGTGTTTTGCAGTTCGTCTTTACTGTGTCCGGTCTTCCCTACATGTAACAAATAGGATTAACAGGATACAGTTAAAATACCCTGAAAGTATTATATTTTGATCTTTGTAGAATTGCATGAGTGTGTCCTCTAGTATTTCGTAAAATGTTGGTTGGTGTTCATAGGCTTAAGGCCTGTGTATTATAACTATTATAACTATGATTAGCTATTGTTTTTAACTTCTAGGATGCACAGGTTCCAACTGTCACCCGCATGTCTGTCTGTGATTTGTCCATCTGTCAGATGTCTTAAGTATAGCTGTTCATGATCCTATGGGATGTTTAGAAAGATTAAAGACATAATGTGAAAGACCTAGTTGCGATGTAATTTTTTGGGGGCCAACCAATTTGTGTTGATATTTGTTTCTTGTATTAGTAAAAAGTCAGACGTATATTTGTATACGAGATGTATGAAATGCTTCTAGTTAGTTCGAGAAACGCGTTTGTTATAACTAACAATTGTCATTCCATCATCCATTTTTCAAAATAAATAAAGTAAAGGGATAAGGTTTAGCAGCATAAGACAGTTCAGAGGCAAGCACTATTAATTTAACCCCTTGACTAAAGCTGCTTACACCGGCGCAGTAATCTGCCTTATATACTGCAACACGGTGGGTCCGCCTTGCAAAATACTGTTCAATGTCTTCGTTTATAAAATTATTCACAGTGTGTGCCTTATTGTACCCTTCATTATCGTATTACAGGAGAAAGCATATTTTTCAAACTGGACTCTTCATATTGTGCAAAAGGGTCAAAATGACATTCGAAACGATCATCTCTGGTTTGGAATTATAATGAAAACACCTTACAATAAGTTTACACGGGTAAGCAGTCATTGGAACCGTTTCTTTATGTTAAAGAGACCTACAGTAATACAGTGGCATTCTTGAATACTGGCCGTGTAGTCATAAGTTGAATGCACCTAAATGGAAAACCATCAAAAGAGGAAGCATTTTGGGAATTAGTAGCTTGTGAAAAAGTTACTGAAATTTTTCTGCAAGCTTAAATGATTCTTGGCTGGGACAATATAATACATAATACGAAATACCTGATCTGCAAGCAAACATTCTCAGCTGGTACAGAACCAATAAAGGAAAAGGTGTATTACTCCTAGGTCGATAATGAAAGTTGACCAACCAGATACTGAGAGCCGAGAAATGAATCAACAAAACTTACAGAATAGTACATGCTGTATCTACGTATGTATAGGCCGCAATATTTTAACTGGACTATGTTGGTTCAAATTAGCTCTCGGCCTCCCTCTGCCTCGTCTCCCATTTAACTTTTCTATTGTCACGATGTACTCGTTTTCTCCTTCTTATCACGTAACCATAGAATG